CGCCCGCCGCGGGCGCGGGCGCGCCCCGCTCTGCCGCCCACTCGACGCCCGGCGGCGCGGCCCGCGGCGCCGCCGCCCAGCGCGCGGGCTCGACGTTGCGCCCCTCCTCCGCGAGCTGGAAGAGGTACTGCCGCCACACCACCGGCTGGGGGCACCACTTGCCGCTCGGCGGCTGCGGCGGGCGGCGGCCGGTGATCGCCCACACGCCGCGGCCAGGCCACACGAACAGCTTGGTGTCGTCGACGCCCGTCGCCTCCCAGGGCACTTTGTACTCGTCGGATCCCCACCTACACTCTGTAAAGTTCCCTCGCCAGGGGTCGAAGCTTGAGCAGCGGGTCGGGCCGGTGAGGTTGAAGGGGTCTACGGAGCACAGGACCGCCCGATTGACGATCCATTTTAGGCCGGCGGTGTCGCGGCGCACGCGCGTCGACCGCGCGACGAACCAGGCCTTGCCCCTGCGGCACGGCGGCGGCGGCGCGCGTGTGTTGCGGGGTCATGGGTGAGAAGGGGAGGGGCGGGCAGCAGCACGCACGGTCAGCGCGCCCATGCGGCGCGACCGCGCCATGCTGTCCACGCGGTCCAAATTGCTGCACCGCCTGCGCTGCTGCTTTGGCAATTTTCCGCCCGTCGCATCACCTGTACACAACTAGTGAAGGGTTGTAAACGCCGGCCTTGGTCTGCAGCTCGAAGTCCTGCCCCACGGGCGGCGGCGGAGGTGGCACCGCAGCTGCATTCCCGCTCTTGCGCGGCCCTCCTTTACTACTGGCAGCACCATCAGCGTATGCCGGCTGCAGTATCATCATCAGGGACAGGAGGAGGAGCGGCGCTGCAATCCCCATCGTCGCCAACACGGTCCAAGCGGTCGCTGCGCGCGCTGCTGTGTTCCGCTTGTGCAGGTGCCAGCCCGCAGCGGCGCGCGGCGGCATCGCCGCTCGCCGCTGCACGGCAGCAGCGTATAATGAAACGTGATTTGCCGATTGATTGAGGTGTGCGGGGCACGTGTGGGTACGCGCGCAGCCTTCTGATTGATCCTATGCGCTCGCAGCTTCGTCGACAATTTGACAGAACTGCGCTACGGCTTCAACGATTGCGGGACGTTTTGACCAAGTCATGATAGCGAATCACCCGCGGTTGACCCCGGTTACACCCGTGGGGGTTTCACTGCATCATTTCGTCCGATGAACGTCGCGGCCAACATCACCACCAACATGAACAAAACGATCGGATTCCACCTTGTGAGGGTTTGAACCCTGTACGTCCGAAGCCGGGTGGGCGTCGATAGGCCATGGCTGCTGGACGCTCACGCTGGCCTGCATGCGGCCCACCAGTCAATCCAAGTTGATGAGCCAGTGCAGGTGCAGGCTTGGCGTTTGCAAGCAAAGCTGAAAGTTCTGCTGATACCGCACGCACTCAGACCCTGGTCCACCTGAGGCTCATTACGTGCATCAACACAGCTCTTGGTATAAACAGGCGCCGTCACGATGGCAGCTGCAGAGTGGGTGAGCAGCAAGCACGGCATGCGCTGCCCTATGGCCCGTGTGTGTTACCTGGAAGCAAGTAAGCTCAAAGACAAGCTTCGAGAGCCACACAGGCGGCTGCCGTGCAATCCTGTTCGTGCCTCCTCACTACAGCATCAAAGCCGAGCGGCTGCATACGGCCTGAAAACAAACAGGAGGTACATGAGTGAGCCAGCGGGGACGAACGAGGAAAATCAACAATGCAATGGAGAAACGTTTTGAATCGTAAGAATGGGCCAACAGGTGCACCGCCAGACGGTGAGGACGCGTCAACAGGCGCACCACCGCAACTTGGCGATTTTGGGTGGGTTTGAGGGTGCCCGGTGAAGGGGGTCAAAGCAAGAGACAGGCCAACCAACTAGTGCGATAGAAGCAGCAAACAGGCGTCAGCCGTCCTAAACCAATCAGGATTCGTACACGTCAGGTTAGGCTGGCTTGGACGAGCAGCATCTCGCATCTAAACGTCAGCCTGCGTCTGGCACAAGATCTAGATCTCGTGGCTCATGATGTCCATCCGCCCCCGGTAGGCCTTGCAGGGGCTGTACCACGCCAGGTTGCTGACGTGGGAGGTGTACAGGCACGCAAAACGGTCCATCTGCAGCGCGGCCGCCGCAGCGCGGCCACAGCAGCGCGGCGCAAGGTCCAGGGAGGAGGCGAGGGGAAGTCACGTAACCATTGTCACGCCTTGTAATTCGTGCAGCAGGCAGCAAGCAAAGTTCATCGATACCAAGTGTGCCGTGCAGCAACATTAGCACCGTCCATGCCGCGGCAAACGCCATGCCGCGCCACACGCGGCTGCCGGACGCATTGCAGCGACCGGCCCGCGCACCACACACACATCCCACCTGGTGTGCGTATCGTGAGTTCTGGTAGCCGGTCTTGAGCAGCCGCCCCCAGACCGGGTGGAACGCCTCGTGGTAGGCCCTGAGGGTTGCGCTGTGGCGCGCCTTGACCTGCCCCTTCTGGCTGACGAGCGCGTCGAGCGCCGCGCGGCGGGCGTCCTGCGCGGGCTCGTGGGCGGCGGGCAGGAGCTCGGCGCCGTGGGCGATGGCCCACTCCAGGCGCTCTATCTGGTCCGCCAGGTCGTCCCTGGTCGTGAGAGGACGGCATCAGGAGGTGACGGGGAGTCGAGGTGGATGGATGATTTGTGAGGTGGAAGGTTCATTGATTGGGCGGAAAGGGCAAAAAGAAAATGATGAGAGGACTCGCACGAGTGTGAGTGCGTGTGCGGTCCCCGCGTTACATGCTCACGCGAGCATAAGCCCAGCCTCTTGCAACTGATCACGCTGACCCCCGAAAAAAAAACAGCCACTGCAAGCTAATCCCCCAACCCCTTCACCACAGCCAACCGCGCACCCACACCCACACCTCAAAAAACCAAAAATGCGCACACAAACACACACACACACACACTGCGTCTACACGCACCTTTGTGCCCGGAGCTTCTGCAGCTCCCTTTGTGTGTTCATGCTCATGGCGGCCACCTCCAGCTCCATCTCAAGCTCAGGGACGACCTTTGGGGCGGGCATAGGGGGAGCGGTCAATAGACACCCCCAACTCCCCTCATTGAATTGACACGGGAGTACAAGATTGGGCGCAGCCAGGGGGCGAGGTGCGCGATTGAGGGGGGAGAGCCAGCCTCAAGGCAGCCCTGGCCAGTCCCGGCCCGAACGCCAAGGCTGGTTGCGAGTTACACGCTACCCCCCAGAAGCTGAGACCAAGGCAACAGCGGATGCATCGGCTCGGCTTGGCGCCCTTCTAGGCTGCACTGCCGCCCCCGCTGCCGGCGGGCAGCCCCTTGGAGTCTTGGCAGCCAGCCCCTTACAGACAAGCGTGCTAGTGCAAGTTCTCGTCACCGCGGCCCACCAGCATGGTCCTCCAGCCCAGCGACTTCTTTGACCGCAGGATGTCGCCGTAGATGTGGTCACCGATGTACAGGCACTGGGGTTATATGTGTGACGCGACACATGAGATGGGGGGGCCAAGCAGCAATGTCCAACGGTTTCAGGGCTGTGAAGCTGGCGGCAGGGAGGGAGGCGACGGTGCCGTGTTGGCTGCTCCAGGCATAGTGGGCCCAACACAAGGTTTGCAATGCCTCAAAGGCCGAGTCTGTTTGGGGGCCATGTAGTTGAAAACACCCATGCCCCGCCTGTCATGGCCAGACAAAGCTCATCCTTGCCCCACCTCCGTGCCGCTTGATATGCCCAGCATTTTGTGCAGGTCAATGTAGTTGCCACCCTGGAATTGGTGGACGGTGATGCCGTGAAGACAGGGTAAGCAAGGATAACGCGCTCAGGTGTGTGTAGTGTGAGGGTGTTGCAGGAACATGAACGGGACAAACACAGCGAGTCAGGCAGGAGAGTGCGAAGCAGTGTGCCGCGCGTTCATCACACAGGCCCGGCGCACGGGTGGGTGCACTCGCAGCCCGTCGCAGCACCCACTTGCTCCATCTCACGCAACCCCATACACACACATACCCACGCACACACGCGTGGGTGCGCGCTCACCTGGAAGACCAGTGCCTTGTCCTCATCCTGCAGGTCGAGCTGGCTGGCGGTGCTGCCCAGCTGGGGGCCAGGAGGGGGCGGGGGATGAAAGGGTGATATTGCAGAGGTTGAGAATTTGGAGGCGCTTGAGCTTTTGAAGGCGGGCCGAAAACATGCCCACTCCTGATATTGCTGGCGAAGGGCCCGTCTAGAGTAAATGCCAAAGGCGGAACCAGGCGAATGTCCAGTCCCGCGGGCTGGCACACACGGATGGCAGACGGCACCGCGCCTTCACTGAAGCCTAGGATCCATCGCAGCAGCCTATGGCAGGAACCGAGGCAGGGTGCACGTGGTGCGTGCGCCCTCACCGCCTCTGCAGGCAGGTCGTCGAGCCCGATGGGGATGATTGGCGCGCCGCCGTCCGTGTTGCGCAGGGTGCCGTCCGACGGGTCCACAGCAAACAGCGGGCGGCGCTCCGAAAAGAAACCGGGCTGGGGTGGGAGTTTTGGGGGAGACGCTCGAACGCGTGGGTCCACAGGCAGCCATGGAGTAGAAGCATGTTTGGAGGTGGGAAAAGCCACCACACAGGTGTACGAGCCCGACGCGCCCTTGCGTCTGCCGCCAACCTCTGCGGCACCTACCGGGTGATCAGCCCAGGCCCGCATCCCAGGCCTGCCTGACGCCGAGGACTCCGCCCCACCCACCAACCCCCTTTTTGGTACTGATAGCAGGGCTGTCAAAAGTGCAGGTGGCAGCTACCTTGGCGCAGCCCACGATGACGACGTCAAACAGCCGCAGCCACTCCTCGCTCTTGCGCCGCCCCACCAGGCCGCTGGGGGTGGCGACGCCGAGGTAATCCGGCAGTTGAAGGGGCGGGAGCGTGTCGGAAGGAGGGTTGCAAAACCAGGGGCTGCGACTGGCCGGCGCCAGGCCTGGCAGGGTTCGCAAGACAAGGAGTCACTTCTGCCGCTGCATCGCCGAGCCTGCCGGAAACCTACAGGCCCCTCAGATTATGCACAGCACGCGCATGATAGTTTATGGGATGCTCTTGTGCATGATCTTGTGCATGCCTACCCCTGTGCCCCAACAGCGTGTGGAGTGCCCGAAGCAGCGTGAGACAGTGCACCCCTTGTGTCACTGGACCGCCGCTCCCTGAATGCTCACCCGCAGAGGTAGTTCATCACCACGTGCGTGTAGTCCCAAAGGGAGTTTGTGGCCAGGAACAGCTTGCGGCCGCTGCGCTTGTACATGCGCAGCATGGGAACAAGGTGAGGGTCCTGCAAAGGTTTTGCAAGGAGTGATGGTGGTTGGGCACCCGAAACTGAGACCACGTTTAGCAAGGTTGGGTATGGTCAGACGTGTCACAAAACGCTGCTAATGTAGATCAGGAATGCGCTGCGCCAAGCATCCCGACGCAGCTGCAGGGGCAGCTTGGGGATGATGGCGACCCCAAGCGGCCCCGGCATGATGGGCAGCAGGGCGTGCACGCGCCAAACTGCCCCGGCCTTGTCTGCCTGTCACGGCCGCAGGCACCAAGATGAGGCATGCCCTGGGATGGCGTGCGCCGCCCCGGTCAAGGAGCTGCGCTAGCGCTTATATCCTCACGTCATGGATGTACTTTGACGGGTTGAGGGCCACCTCCCTCTTGAGGGTGCCATCCCTGTGGCAGAGGTCGACAGCGGACCGCACGTCTCGCCAGATGAGCTGGTAGTCTGTGCCGTGGGTGATGCTCTGGGGGTCCTTGTCCTGTGAGCGTGATTATCAGGCATGTGGGTACTGTGTGTAAGGATCTGCGCAATTGCTTGGGAATTTGTGAAGGTGTGTGTGTGCTCGTGAAGGGGTGCGTGTGTGCGCGTGCGCGTGTGTGTGTGCACGTTTGCAAAAGACAGCAGGACAGCAAGAGTGTGTGTGAGTGTGTGTGTTTGTGTTTGTGTTTGTGTGTGTGTGTGTGAGAGAGAGAGAGAGAGAGAGAGAGAGAGAGAGAGAGAGAGAGAGAGAGAGAGAGAGAGAGAGAGAGAGAAAGAGAGGGAGAGAGGGAGAGAGAGAGGGAGAGAGAGAGAGAGAGAGAGAGAGAGAGTGTGTGTGTGTGTGTGTGTGTGTGTGCATGCAAGTCTACTTCCACGTTGCCTGTACCAGGGGGTGTCCGCTCACCGCGATCTCCACGAGCTGGCTGAACAGGTGGCTCTCCGCGAGGCTGAACAGCGTGTCCACCTGCATCAGGACGTGGCGAAAGACAGGTCGATCAGCTCGCACCGACTTGCTGTTGATGGCCTGACGGCATCCAAATGACGGAGACACAGCTCACCCGCACATGACGCAAGCACTTGCGCACCCAAATCCACGCGTGCACCCCACACATACAAACACACACACACACACATATTCACCATGGAGTAGCCGGGCTCGTCGAACTCGTCGCGCACGGCCCCCCAGTTGTAGACATCATCGCGCTCAGCACTGGTCAGGCACCTGAGATGCGGTGCAATAGACAGAGGTGATGGCAGGCGTGATTGGCACAACCATTGCAGGAGAATCAAATGTTTTCCTGCTTGTGGTGGCTGCTGCGACTGCCGCCGTCGCCACCGCCGCCGCCGGCCCCGCTGCTGCTGTTGCTGCTCTGCTGCGGCCGCCGCCGCTTCTGCTGCCATAGCTGCTGCTGCTGAACCCCTGGCCGCATACGTTATCCACGACACCTCACGGGATGAAAAAAGGGATGCGCCACAAGGCGGTGTATAGCGCGCATGAACTGCAAGTAGCAGGTTCACTTCCTGCTGGCACGCGCGCACACACACACACACACACACACACACACACTCATGCATACACAAACGCACACCGCGCGCCCTCTACCACTCCGCCACACATAAACCCCCACCCCAACACCTCCAGCATCACCCTCACACTGCCACACCCAGATACACACCCACCACCACCCACGCGCACACACACGACCCCATGCCAACGTGCCTGAATCCGTGGTATGCGATCTTGACGTACTTGTGTCGGTCGACCTTGATTACGTTGCCCCTCTTCTTGTCCACGATGAGGCCCCGCACCATGAAGGCGTAGTCAAACTCCAGCTGGTACAGGGAGGGGGGGTAGCCAAACACCTTGACCAGCTTGGCCACGGTCTCGCTGGGTGGGGGTGGGGTTGGGGGTGGGGGTGCGGTCATCACAGGGTGCAGGGCTCGGGCTGGGAGTGGGGATGGGGCTGGGGTGGGGCTAATGCGGTTGGGTGGCTGATGGTTCAACAGGTTGCTCCATAAGGGTGCAAATGAGGTTGTGCATTTGGTTGCGTGCGCAAGAGCCTTGATGTGCATGCACGCTGTGCGAGAGGTTCCTTGCGCGGGGGGGGGGGGGCTGCTCGCTGCGGCGGCCGCCACCTGTAAGCCAGCTCCTCAAATGCCTTGGGCTTGTATTGGGCGATCTGGGGGGAGCAACACAGGGGCCAGGGCGGGGAATTGCTTCTTGCTCTCAGAGCGGGTGCAGCTTCCAGGAAGCTGCAAACATGATAGGCAGGGAGTGATGCATACGAACAAAGTCACGCCCGAGTGTGCAGCAGCTGCACAGCAGCCTGGTGGGTGGCCCTCAGGAATGCGCACCGTGTAGTCCATGTCAAACCCCACCGCCTGCAGGGCACAGTGGTCCAAGAGGGGGAGAGCGACACTGAAAAGAAGCGGGAGCGGCGTGGTGTGGCGGCACGGGTGTGCGAGCAGGGCACTCAGCGGCGGTGGCGCTGCGCGCTCCTCAGACCTCTTGCTCGTCCATTCGCAGCGCTGAAGCGTACGCGGTGCCTGCATTCGCCGGCAGCCCGCAAGGCTCGCAGAAAGCAACCGGGTGCCCGCCAGATGTGCCCCCCTCCCCCCACACC